CGGGGGGGGGGGGGGGGGCAAAGTCGTCCAATTAAGCTCAATATCCTTCAAAAGATGCTTTATGTTTACTTGTATCTTTTCCGTGACTTCATGGTCACGATTACAGGGACCAGGAACCTACGTATGAAAGTTCGTGCAACCTATGTGCAAATTGAAAATTAAACACATCGATCTCATTAAAAAAAGTTTAAATATAATGGGTTAAATGAATAACTTCAATTAGTTTATTAAATCCTTTTCTCTGCTGAGAAGGATCTCATTGTCATACAGTTAAAAGTGTGAAAAAATTATGTAAGCGCCAACACGTAATTACTCGATTCATTTTCATCAGCGGCGTTTTAACTGTTTGATAAGGTTTTATCGTGGGCCGGCGCGGCGCACAGTGAATCGAGTAAATAAGAGAGGTCGAACATGAAATTTTTTACAAAAACTGCAAATTTGTACGTCTAGTTCGTCACATTTTAAATGTTGAGGTGTGCTTCTAGAAGTAAATTTCGCGAGAAAACTAATGGAACCACTTTTAAAACCTTAAAGTTTTGATTTAACGAGGTCGTAAGCTCTGAAAGTTTCCAAATTTTGTCCGACCTCTTCCATTGACTCGATCCACTGTGCGGCGCGGCGGTTTTTGACACCGTTATCAATGACGCGTGAAAATGGTCTTACAGACGCCTATCTCATTGTCGGTAGGATAATGTAAAAAGTAGCCTCGATACAATGAAGTCTGATAAGACCTTAATCATACCTATGTGGTAAAAATTATTATCGATGATGAGTTTCAGTCGATTTTCTAGAGGTTCACGAGAAAGATTTTTGATTACCGAAAGGTGTAAAATTGTGCCGGTTGATTGCGTTGTTCCATGACGTGATAAAGAATAGTGCCATTCATTGCACATTGCCTTATTAGGTAAGTTTTTTTTTCATTTCATTCAATAATTTCAGACGTCATTGTTGTGGCTATGATATCAAATAAACAATTCGACGATCAGAATCACACGATATGAGAGAGCTCAGTGAGGGAAGTAGGCAATTGGTTTGGACATGAATGAATAGATGTCCTTTTTAATTAGAAAAAAAAAAAATGAAAAAAAATACCCTGAATTGTTTACTTCTTTATCTTTCCGACCCATACACACATAAACATGAAAAAGACATTGTCGACTGCACTCAAATAAGTTATTACACTTGTTACATTTTTTTCTTTTGAAAGAAAAAGAAACCAACATTTTATGAACTGAAGCAAAATCATGTAAAATTTCATGAATTTCGAGGGGTTGGTGTTTCTTAAAAAAAAAAAAAAAAAAAAAAAAAAAAAAAAAAAAAAAAAAAAAAAAAAAAAAAAAAAAAATGTGACGGAAAGTTTACAACTATATCAAGCTTAGATACTGTCTTTCTGTTTACCTCCGATATCCAGGATCGTTCATAAAATACGTAACGCTGAGAATCACATGTTTCTACTCCTCCTCCTTCGGTGACGTACCTACCTTTAACACACCCCTGTACGGTGTACACCTCTAACAAATTACGTACATAACCCTCAGCTCGAAACCCCTCGCTCAAATTGCTGTATTGTGATGAATGATGGGTGAAAAATGGCCACCCCGCGTCAAGTTTCCATCTCAAATTTTCGAATAGGTAATCGGTGGTACGCATTAATCCTGGCGTTACGTAACGAAGCCCTAGTTTCCGCTTTACCTCTATTAAACATCCGTAACGCAGGCTCCCGAGCAGGTGTATACTTTGAGTTACTTTTCAAAATTATATCCGTCTAAAAAATTAAGTATCGTAAGATTTAATTTCCGACTTGACTTTTTCGAATCATGGAGGTCAATCATGTAAGTCCATGTGTTAAATCAATGTTCAAAAGCATGCATAATAGAGGCCATAAATATCCCCTTGTACTGAGTCATTCACAAAAGAGATCGGGAATAAGTAATTTTCCAAAATTAACAATAGCCCTTGCCGAGCATAATAAGATTATGTAAACATTTGAACATTTCCTCTATCCTTCTTTTTCCCTGTTCAATTCCGTCTGTTGAGTCCTTGTCGGCGGAAGAGGACACTTTAACTACAGCTACGGTTCAAATATTCAAAGAAACCTCGGAACAAGCAACTATCTCCACTGACCTTGCGCTAGAAGTGATTCAACAGACATATCACGTCGCGTCACTTGGACGGACGCGTCATTTCAAATTTACCGCTTCAATTTCAAAAGTTGCATCACCTTATCTGGCTCTGACTGGTCGAGCGGTTTGTTTACGTTGAACAGCTGATTTTTCAGTCATCTCTCATAACCTGTAATTCTGAGTAGGACGGAGCTTTCATACAAAATTCTCAGTTACCTAATCTAGAGTTAAATCGTGTTTTATTGAAGGTAACTTTTAATGTTAGTTTTAACTTTATTTTATAATTACTACCTAACGTTAACACTATGAAGTTAGGCATACGCTCTCGGGTGTTCACAGATAAAAATCATGATTTATCATTGGAGTTCTGATGCTGGTTCTGCTTTTTAGGTCTGTTTCATTTGATTCATGAACGAGTTTAATTAGCAAATGTACATTATCAGTTCTCACGATGGAATTTGTATTGGGTGGCACTGCTGCAGTTGGTGCAGTTTGTTTCACAAACCCTTTGGAAGTAGTCAAAACACGATTTCAACTTCAAGGAGAACTCAAAGCACGAGGACAGTATGCTGTGCACTATTCCAATTTTTTTCATGCCATGTATGTCATTGCAAAGAATGATGGGATTCTAGCGCTACAAAAAGGTCTTGCTCCTGCTGCAGTTCACCAAATCTTCCTAAACGGCACACGCTTAGGGGGATATCAAATAGCAGAAGATCGAAAGTGGTTTTTAAATGAAGATGGCACTGTTTCGCTCTGGAAGAGTTCTCTCATTGGAGCAGCCGCTGGATCTCTTGGTGGATTCTTAGGGAGCCCCTTATATTTGGTGAGTTTTCATCAGTGTTCATATCTTACGGAGAAATTTAGAGGCCAATTTGGTCAGCTTGATCTATAGTTAGGGGCCACAATCAGTTTTTTTTTTCTGAAATAATTTATGATTTGAGCCAGACGTCTTTATCTGCACTGCAGGTTTTCTCCAACTGATCACACATTTTCATAGCTCTCCTTTACCCAATTGAATCCTTTACAAGGTTTTGTATAAGTATAGACTTTGTTATGAACAGAAAAGAAGAAAGAGGAAAATACAGCTGTGATACCTTTTCTAGCATCAGAATAGATTGGCAAACACGCAGCACCCCTCTCTTACCCATATTCATCTTGGCAATTAACTCCATGCAATTCCATGCTCGACTGTTTTAATGAGTGTAGCCCAATTGGATTCCTAATCTTCAAATGCATGGCACGGAAGACTTATTGTCCTTATCAGTTCTTGGCCATCATTCCTGATCCAGCCTTCCCTATTTCTGACCCCTGCTCACTCCATTGTAATGTACTTACACTTGAAAGAAATAAATGCATAGATACACTAAGGACAGGGCTTAGCTGTCTCAAGTGTTTTATACAGGAAGGAAAGAGAGCGATATGTAGGGACCTTCTCTGCTTTAAATAAAATTTGTGTCCAAATGAAAATATTTGGCTGTAGGCCTAACTCAAATGAACTTTACTTTCACCTATTGAAGCTTTGATCAAATTCTTCAAAGAGCCACCAATCCATTATGAAGGGTTCCTTCTATTTTCCTTACTCAAAAATTTAATACTGTGAATTTTCCATATTTTTGCAGGTAAAAGTTCATTTGCAATCAAAATCAATGAGCAGCATAGCTGTAGGACATCAGCACAACCATGAGAGCACACCTCAAGCCTTGAAAAATATTTACAAGCAGTTTGGCATTCCAGGCCTTTGGCGTGGAGCCTCCGGTGCAGTGGTTCGCATCGCCGTTGGCTCCTCCGTGCAACTAAGTTCCTTTTCAATTTGCAAAGAATATTTTAAAAAACACGAGGCAATTATTTTTAATTATTGCTACCTTCTCTCCAATTTATTTCGTATTTTAATCATGAATTATTTTGATTGTTTGCAATCTTTAACTGAACACAAGTAAGAGTTTGTCAAGTCAAAAGGTCCAAAATAAAGGTAATTAACAAAAAATAACAAAAAAGAAAAGAGGAAATATTGTAAGGGCAGTTTCAAAAATGAAAAAAGTAGTACATAGGGTATGGGGCATTAGAAGCCTCTCAGTTTGTTGTCTAAAGGAAGAAATGGAAAAATAAAACATCAACAATATTAGAAATTCAAGGTTACTGCGAGATTTCCCCATTACAAATTTTTTGCATGCATTTTCCAGTTAAACCTTTGACATTTGTAAGTAGCTGTTAATTTTTCTCTCAGTTGCCATAAATTGAAGAACTTCAAGTCTCGCATTTCAATCTTTGAGTGTCAGGTTTCAAATTTTATTTTTTTTCCCCCTGAAAATTGCTTTCATTGCTCTAAGTTTTTGACATTTTCTCAGTCAAATTTTCAAAAAAAATTTCATGACCTAACTGGCTTTTCTTACAATAAGCAGTCAATTTGATAATTAATATTTGTACATTGACAACGAATTTTAAAGTTGTCTTAAGCGACACTTTATATCTCAGGATCAAAGAAAAATTCGACCATAGTGAGGGTAAAATTCACTTCCTTTTACAGTATGTTTATGGTAATGTAAACTGTCATTGTGACGTCTTACTGATCTTGTATTTTTCTCTGTTTTAGCTCTTTACTTCAGTTAAATACTTGGACACATTCGCAGCTGGTGCAATTGGAGGGATCGCCATTGCTCTCGTTATGGCTCCTTTTGATTTAATATCAACAAGACTTTATAATCAAGGTATGTTTGATGTGTATGCGTAATGTTTGATAACCAATGTGTAATTAAGTGCTCTGCAACTGAATTACTAAGAACTTTGGGACTTCTTATTTTCAAATGATCCTTTATCTTACCATCTTAAGCCAAAGTTGGCATCAATTTAGGTACACTGACTGTCCTCCTGTCAGAAATTGATCATTTTTTCTTCTAATATTTGGCAGATAGCTCAATTTCATCACTTTTTAAATTTTATTTGCAGTAAATTTTGAGATTCCTCAGTTTTTATTGTGATTATTTCAATTCCATTAATATTTTTGTCAGGCTTTTTTGTACTTTTTTTCTTTCCAGAACATAAAAGAGAAAAATACACTCTTTGTTTCTTAGCCATACCTCATAATTAAAAATTCTCATTTTGACAATTTTGATGGGTTCATTACAATTTTTCATACTGTGCGACAACTATTTCATGCCTGAGAGTATTGGGTCTTGTCAGCTTCTTATTTTTTGTTTCTTCATTTTTTAGGTGTTGATGCAGAAGGGAAAGGATTATTGTACAAAAATTACACAGAGTGTGTCTCCAAAACTTGGGCTAAAGAAGGTCTCTATGGCATGTACAAGGGTTTAATGCCATGCTATCTACGAATAGGGCCGCATTCCTGTCTTTCTCTCTTATTTTGGGACGTACTAAAATCATTTGAAAAAAGTTTTTTCACAGAATCACAAAGCTAATATTTCCAAGTATTTTACTGTCACTACAAATGAAGAGTAGCCTTTTTTTTTCTCTTTTTTTCTTTTTCTTTTTTTTTGTACTCTATCTTATCGATATTGGTGCTGAAAGTGGTCATTGAGATTTGAGCTTCATTCTGGTCGGATGGCCAGAAATTGATGATGCTCCGTACTTCTGTAGATCCAGGGCACTGTTATGATTCAAGGTGATAAAATTTACTTTCCTCGAAAAATATCTACCTGTTACCTGCACATTTCCCATTTTGAACATGCGGTATCCACTCTTAAAGTCATAAAATGACTTGGAAACACCAAAAAGGAACAAATACGGCAAGTCGAGGCTTGTTTATTATGAGCCTTAAATTATTTTAAGAAGAAAGACTGGTTAAGTTAGGTATAAGTTTATACTTTTATCAACTCTTTATCCCTAGATTCCTTGCTTGTTGAAAATTGAGTTTGAGTTTTTGTTTTGCTGCATCTCTTGTTTATCAAAAGTAATTTTAAGACTTTTTTCTTACCTCATTTATGTACGTCTCCTTTTATCTATGTTCAAACTGTGAATTTCTGTAAATTCTCACATAAATACGGTCATGTGCATTGAATTACTAGCCCTTCGCGTTAGGGTGAAAGAGGGTAAAAGGCTACACTTTTTTTTTGGGGCCATTTTAATAAATTCATCGGAAATGTGGTAAAACAAACAATTTCTATTTTTGCCCCAAAAGTAGAAATTATTTCGCCATTTTTAGAATTGGCGATCTTTCTGAAACTCCTGTCAGTGATGAAGTTTCACATTATTCCCATTGAAACAGACGTGGCTTTGTTGTCAGCTTTTTTCAATCAAAATAAGGAGATGCGGCCCTCTGTCCTGTGCGGCCTTTTTCCTTCATCTTCCTTATTTCATTTAAACTGTAGTTACTGACTTATCTATTCAAAGAAATGCGTACCTGAAGCTTACCTTGATTTTACAAATATTTTGTTACTGAGCTTGTTATAGCACAAATAAATCTTGTTTTCTAATGAATTCTTCACATTTCATCTCCTAACTTTTGTCCTCTTCACGGTTTATTTTTATTTGTGCCTTTGTTAATGTCCTCTACGTAGATTTAGAAGGATCAGCTTATGATGAGCATATGAGAGTGGATCAGTCACAAAAGGCACAGATCGGTAACATTCTTCTCCCCTTACACGACATAGAATTTTTGTAGGAAGGAAAAGAGAGATAGAGCCAAAAAAATAACCAAAGAGAAAGAAAAAAAAAATGACCAAAGAGATGAGATGCCATATTTAATGATGAGATATTGCAATACTGGAAAAGATTCACGAAAATATTACTGGCCGATAGAGGTTAAAAAAATTGCTTTTCTTGGTTTGCAAACTCCTCCTCTCTTTTAAAAATAAATCAGAACACCTAATTGTTTTTTATTTTAGAAATATTACCCAAATGATTTGTCCATATTTATTTCTCTAATACACTGCACAGCTTGGTGCAAAAATAATTGTTAGTTCACTTCTTTAATTTTACTTTTTTTTTCCTCTCCTTTTTTCTCTCCAATGAAAATTAAGTGTAGAGGGACACTTTGAAATAAGGTAATGAGAAAATTTTACTCATCATTTAGTAAATTGATTTGGGTTAATTGTGGATACCTAAATATGTGTTTGATTAAGAAGAACTACCTGTTTCCAAGGACCTGATTTTTTCTGGAATTCATCTTTAGATCAATAATGACATAGTTTTCGTTTTTGGTTGTAAAAAACAAAGCTTTCTGGCTCCAGCTTGTCGGTGTAAATTTCTAGAAGAGATTGGGTCCGTAATGATAGAGAGCACCAGATCATGGACGTCGAAAATGACATCATGACCGAACAACTAGTTTGGTATGGTCATCAGGGCCGGATTAAGGGGGTGGCCACATGGGCCGCGGCCCATGGCGGCAAATCTAGAGGCCGGCAAATTTTGCAATTTTTTTAAATGTAGGTATAGAAAAATATCGGATTTAGAAAAAAAATTACAAACAAGGAGAGGCGACAAAATCTCTCATTTCCCGAGAGTGTAGTAATTTTTAATTTGGTCGTCTTTCAGTGCGATACAAGAGACAGCACCTTTGATTAGTCGAGTTAAGAGAGAAACCAAACACGCAATTTGGCCTGGAACGGCGCGGCGCAGAGAGCAATGATGACGAGGACTTGAGATGAAAAGGAGAAGCCTTCGGCGCGGCGATCGGCATGTAACACATATCAGCGCCTACAAGACTGCACGAATACTTCACGCATTGCATCAAACACAGTGCGATCATTACGGTCAGCGTGAAACGGGTAGCGCCTACAAGAATGCAGGAATACTTCACGCATTGCGCCGAACACAGTGCGGACAGCGTGAAACGCATGACGCTTACAAGACTGCGTGAATACTTCACGCATTGCGCCAAACACGGTGCGGTCTGCGCGGCGCAAGTTAAAATCATGAAACCACATTCATCTTTGTTCCCTCATAATTTTTTCGTTCATTTCATATGAAATGGAAGGCTTTGTCCACACAGAGATAGGTTTACAAAACTTAACTTTTGCTAGTAGCGTTGACAAAGACATCCCCAAAAAATGTGTTCAACACGAGAAAACGCGTCTTATGCACCCCTCCCCCGCTAGCACGTTCACTTGATGGTTTTTATTGATGTTTCGATACGAATGAGAAGGGGGCGGCAAAATACAGGCGGCCCATGGGCGGAAAGTAGGTAAATCCGGTCCTGATGGTCATGCTAGCAGGATGTCAGAGGAAAGGCTGCCGAGGAAGATACTTGACTGGGTTCCCCCGGGAGGAGAAAGAGGGGACGCGTCCGTTGAAAGGATGACAATTGGGGAATGACAAGAAATAAGGGAATGCCAACCATCTATATCTATGGCTTTAAAAGAAGTCATTAAAGGAAGTTGGTTATGATCAAGACATTTTTTTTTAAATTTTCATTTTTTCGGTAACATGCTGACGCTAATATCACCCCCTCCCTCCCTCATCCTCTTATGTAACACCTAAAGAGGTAGTCGGGTCAATTTGACTCGCCTAGGGATTTCTAGGGGTGGTCGTCAAAATAAAATTCCCTGACAAGACATAACTCTCTCCAAAATACTAATTTTTAAATGTGCGCTCTTAACGGCCATTGAGAGACCGTTAAACTTTTTCCCTGTCCAACTTTATATTTCTTTTATTTCAAAATTAAGAGACACCTTAACTGTGCGTTGATGACAGCGCACGCGCAGAGATAAAACTATTATTCGTGCTTGATGGATTGTCATAATGCATTCGCGAAATCGGAGGCGCGATGGCATGAGGCGTGAATATTTGCAATGCTCTGCTGTATGTTGCCAGTGAGATGTCGCTCAGATTTGGGGGAAAAAGTCCAAAAACGAGACCCGAATACGTCTCTCCTGTCCTCTGCTGTGTAGATTACGTGGCCCTTGAAGTACCTCCTAGGAAGTACCAATAAGCCATGGAAATAGAGCGGGGGAAAGGACACGCGTTGATGACGGCGCAGAGATACGACTATTCGTGTTTGATGGATGTCCGCGTTGCATCTGAATCATTTGAAGGCGCGATGGTGCGAGGCGTAAATTCGCAACGCTCCACGGCATGAACTCGCAATGCTCCGCTATGTGCTGCCAATGAGATGGCACTCAGATTCGGGGGAAAAAAAAAAAAAAAAAAAAAAACCGGAGCCCGATTACGTCTCTCCTATTTTCGGCTGAGTTTGCACTTTATATTTTTTCTTTTATTTCAATTTGATGTCTGATTCTTTTTTTAGGATGCATTTGTAGTCCTATATCTAAACGAGAAAAATACACTAATTGACAGGGCCGGATTAAGGGGGTGGCCACATGGGCCGCGGCCCATGGCGGCAAATCTAAGGGGCGGCAAAAATTTGCAATTTTTTTAAGTTTAGGTATCAAAAAAAATCGGATTTATAAAAACAAAAGCACAAACGAGAAAAGGCGACAAAATCTCTCATTTCCTGAGAGTATAGTAATTTCTAATTTTGTCGTCTCTTAGTGATACCAGAGATAGCACCTTCAATAAGTCGAGTTAAGAGAGAGACCAAACACGCAATTAGGCCTGAAACGGCGCGACTTAGAGAGAAACGATAACGAGGACTTGAGATGAAAAGGAGAAGCCCTCGGCGCGGCGATCGGCATGTAACACATAGTAGCGCCTGCAAGAATGCATGAATACTTCACGTATTGCGCTAAACACAGTGCGGTCAGCGTGAAACGCGTAGCGCCTACTAGACTGCGTGAATACTTCACGCGTTGCGTCCAACACAGTGCGTTCAGCAGCGGTCGGCGTGAAACGCATAGCGCCTACAAGATTGTCGGAATACTTCACGCATTGCGCCAAACACGGTGCGGCCTGCGCGGCGGCGGAAGTTAAAATCATTGATCCACATTTATGTTTGTCCTTTCATAATTTTTTCGTTAATTTCTTATGAATGGAAGACCTAGTCCACACAGAGATATATTTACGGAACTTAACTTTCGCGAATAGTTTCGTGAGCTTTTGCTTGTAGCGTTGTTAGGGCTTTCCCAAAAATGAGTTAAACGCGAGTAAATGCGTCTTATATGCACCTTTCTCCCGCTGGCACGTTCATTTGATGGTTTTTATCGAGTTTCAAAACGAATGAGAAGGGGGCGGCAAAATATAGGCGGCCCATGGGCGGCAAGTAGGTGAATACGGCCCTGAATGCAAGCTGCCTGGACTGAAAACTCTCCCTCTCAGTCTTGTTGAGAGTCTCTTGAGTTATAGAGTTCAAATTTGATCCTTTTGAATTAATTTGACTCAGGTCCTCCATGCCGTCACTGAAGTTTACCGCTAGAAACGACCACTTTCTCAATGTTCCTATTTTAATAGAAAGGCGGAGGACTTATATCATTTCGACTCTAGAAGGCTGATTATATAGTTGGCTTCTTATATTTATCAGAAGTTACCCCCCCCCCCCCAAAAAAAAAAAGAAGTCTCCTCATTTTTCCGATTCAGCAGTTTTTTGCGTAGTTTTAAACAAATTTAACACCCAGAGACACAGGGAACAAAGAATAATTTCATATACTTACGCATTCTCATAGAGGGGCGAAGAAGATCTCGAATGTTTGCCATCCATTTTTGTGTTTCGGTTTCCGACTCCCCGGCTAAGAAAACACAGGCACCACATGAAACACTTCCCTGATAGAATATGCCAAAGGCAAACGGACGGGACCTGTGAAAATGAAATTAACACTGCTGAGATGGGGCTTCATATCGTGTTTTAGTATCATATTAATAATATCTGTAGAATGACACTAACACATTTATACACCGGAATGAAATTGGGGAACTTCGGGGCGATTCGCTGGTGCACCNGGGGGGGGGGGGGGGGGGGCACACAGCGACGAGTTCATCAAAGTTCATCGAGTTCATACGAAGTTCATCGTATTGAAACAGAGTTCTCTTGTAAACCCCTCGACCGATTTTCAAGAACTTGAACTTATTTCAAAGCTGAGAGTATGCCTGTCTCGAGCGTCACCAAACCTCTAGCACCCGGCTTAGTATAATTACTCTTCAAACAGTCACAAAATTATTATACTTAGTCATAAAACTGTTTAAAAAGTTTGATTGAAGCACCCTCCATTTCAAAAGAATCTGAGAAAAATAATCCAAAAAGACGACGCAAGGAAGTACCAATTTCTGAGGAGATGTCTCGTCGACAATATAGGAAGTTCCTGAATTTTTCGCCTCCACGCTTGTCCCAAGTGAATACACCAGCTCTTTGTGAAATGAACGTATTTATGCTAAAAGGAACTATGTACATAGGGTTTGTGTGCAACATAGTTCCTTTTGGCATAAATACGTCCAAATATTGATCCCGAAAGTGCAAGAGCAAGCCCAGCACTAATGACCAATCAAATTGACGTATTTATACTAAAAGGAACTATGTTACATGCAAACCCTATGCTTACGATTCCTTTTAGCATAAATGCGTCCAAATATGATTAATCCCTCCAAAAATGCCAAACAGAGAAATCCCCAAAAGCCCCCTATTAATTGACATATCAATCATTTTAGGGCCATAGGTGAATTCAGCGCTTAAAATCATGGTGGCTAGCCATTTTTCATTGGGTTTTTGTCCAAAACCGTCGTCTACATTCAGAGAAAACGACAATTTTTCCGGAAAATGGGGGAGGGGCGTGGCTCCTTCAGAGGGTCACTTTTGGAAAAAACTTAAGAGAAGAAAAATGTTTTATTTTCCCCCGTAGAGCACTTCCCTGAAATATGACTGTGTAACCCTGCGAGTCTAGGACATCCTGTGTTGTCGTTCTCAGCACTGCGACGTTGCCGCTTGTACAAAAAAAATAAATTTAGCTGGGATAGAATCGGGAACAGGACGGAATTTCGGGACGGAAAGCGGTCAATATCCGGGCGAGGTGAAGAGATGAGCTAAAATACGACAGATAGACGATGAGCTAATATTACCTTGACTCGGAGCGACATATGATAGCGTCATGCGGCACATTTATTTTGTTTGTGACGTGTCCTTTGTGGGTACTTAACTGTACTTCGAGTCGATTGCCGATTCTTTTCACCATACACCACTGTCTTCTCCAGGACTGAAACCGCAGAACACACAAGTAAATCAAACACGGCCCGTTTCAAGGCTCAGACAACCAACGATAAACAGACGAAAAAGGTCACATTTCTCCATCGTTTTCTTAGTTTACGCTTCGTGCAATCAGTTCCGTCAACTTCTGACACTATACAGTCACACAGTTTTACAAAAATCACAGTTTTCTTAAGATAGGTTCCTCTCGTTACCTCTAAAACTAAAAAAATTCCGAACAAACAAGCACTAAAAATGAAATTTGAACTTACAAAAATGTCAGAGAAAAACTGTTGTTAAAATGTATTAATTATTTAGGTAATTCTTTTTTAAAATGCCTCGTGCAAAAAGTACGTATGTTATGACCATAGATGCTAATGAGAAACCATGGAGCATGATCCTGAAATCCAGAGGTCTATTTGGTCGTCTAGTGGTTTATACCGATGCCTTAAATTTCCGGCCACATTCATAATTAAAATGAAGACAAACCTATCATCGTCGGACCATTAAATCGTTTCCATTTACTCTGCCATACTCAAGACCTCCCTCCAAAACAAAACGTCAGAATGTACATTCCGACAGATTGAACGTGAGCGGAAACCAAAAAACACTTCCATTGAAATTGAACACTTGGCAATGATAAGCTTAATAGGGATGATGAATCTCACCGCACCGAGTTGACTCGATATTCCTTCTGGGAAATGTTTTTGCCAAATAAATACCGCAAATAGGTAATTCACGGCTTATACTTTCCCTGGTAAAAATTGGCAGTAGAATCTGTGTTCCAAAATACCATAGACCTACGGCCGGCTGTAAAATTTCCAATAGCTTCTACAGCCCGCTACACAATTTCTTACAGCCTTTTATAGCCGATGGCGACTAAGCAACAGCCAGGCGATAAAGTGTATGCTAAAAGTTACTAATTACGGATGCTAGGACTTAGTGAATTTTTGGACTACTGCTCTCATTTTGGGCCGTAGTATCTTGATTTATTTTGCGAGGAAAGCTCCGTACTTTTGATGGATGCCTGTCATAATATATTAGAGCGCCTTCAGTTTCGTATGATACTGTGCAATATCTCTGGTGTGAAATAGTTGCTTCAAGCGCCGTGGCACGCTGCGGCGCGGCAGGCGGGCAGCCAGCGCGGAGCGGGCATCGGCGCCTACAAACCTAACAGGGATACTTCACGCGTTGCGCAATGCGTGAAGTATCGCTGTTAGGTTTGTAGGCGCCAGTGCGTCGCCGCTCCGTCTCATGTTAGGCTCCAATATTTAATCTGGCGGAGTCAGCGTTATTCAACTCACATGATTTTGACATGTTTGTACATCCTTTATGGATTATTCTCATTTTAATTGATAAAAAAAAATATGTATTAAAGGAAAATGTAATGTGTGTTTCGTAAATATTAAGGCGGTTCCGTTTCAAACTTAATGATTTCCAAAGCACACGAATATCTACACAATTTCTTATACCCTTTTTTTAATCGATGGCGAAAAAGCAACAGCCAGGCAATAAAGTGTAAAGCCCAGCGATAGGAACTATAGCCCGGCTGCATAATTTTTTATCGCTTCGTATGCTGCCGTGCTAAGGGAGAACACCGTATGAGCCATCGGGCGTTGCCAAATTTCCTTCGACAAATCACGAATTTCTAGGAAAATTTCTGCGCAGATCTCCTCGGATTTTTCAGGAGATTTAGCTATCGTGATTTAATTTAAAATATCTGAAAATTCCAAGGAAAAATATGCATTAATTTCTTCAAAAATACATGTTTTATCCGGGAAAATTTTGGCAACTCTCGAATGTTCATACGGCGTTCTTCCTTAGCACGGCAGTATAGCCCGGCCGTATGATTTTCTCCGCATTCTCAGGTATATGATTTTCTGTAGCCTTCTTTAGCCGGCTATAAAAATGCCTATGGTACTTTGAAACGCAGCTCCTATACCCAATTTTTACCAGGGTTGTTCACTGTTTCGCAATAACACGAAATAGAATTAGATTTGAGTTTTGAAAATAATCATTGAAGTTGATGGAAAATTATCCGGGTTATTTAATCAGAATTTACATATTGACACTTTATAATTTTTAAAGAGATATTAGTGCATCGAGGTCATTATCTGAACTCATGCGTTGCACTAATTTTCGAAACGGAATTAATATGAGGTGCGGCGCTAGGATGCAACTATACGTGTTCAATGGATGCGCACGTTGCATAAGCATAGAATTGAAGGCACTTTCGTTTTCCTTGCCTTCATATGCCCGCTAGGAGCTAAAATTCTAAAGGGTTCTTATTTGTTCCGTCGCTCAAGGGATTACACGCCACCTCAGGCTTTACTTCTAATACTAAAAACCGGTGCAGGAAGCATGACTCATATTGCCGCTAAGCCGACTGTTCACGTGTTAACTTATCGTTACTATGCGCAAGACGGCAAGACAAAAACTTACGAGCTCAAGAGAAGATCAGTCTGTCATCCAATTGCTTATGAAATGTCCATATTTTTATTTTTTCGTAGATTGCTCCAAATTTATGGTGAAATGCAAAAATCGCGTCTCTTTGCGACGCTGCAGATTTCTTGACACAGTGTTTGGAGTATGATTCAATTCACACATAAACCTCACGGGATTTTGTCAGGTGTGATATTAATTTAAAATGCTATTTTGTACGCACCTTCCATGGTCCAAAACGTTTGCCTTTTGTTGGGACTTTGGCATCGATGAATCCACAAACTGAGCTATCCGTCATAGCACGCTTCCTTCCTGAAAAATATTGAAAACACTATAGTGAACAAGAACGAAAGCCATATTATGAACAAGAACAGACGCCGAGTATGTAGAAAAATTTGTACTTTAAAGGTTGAATCTCATGGTGCCGCAAGGCTCATGCTGCAACTTAATTTGCCGCGGTCTCGTAAAAATTGTGGAAAACTGAGTTCGTAGCAATCTCGCGGCAAGTCAAGATCAATCTTGCGGCAAGTTTGTGTGTCGTTTTGGACGGGGTGAATCGGTATTTTTTCATTGAAAGACTTGTTCTCGTTGATCATGGGATTAGACCTGTGTCTTGTTAAGGGATCCATTCATGTATGTATCTATCGCGACGTGCGATGCACTGATAAACTACGGATATAAATTGCTAATTTGCCTGCGGCCACCGTTAAGCCGAGTGTTGTTATAAATCAAACCCATTCCGAAGGAGTTTATTAATTCGTCGAGGCCTCGCCGGAATCACTCGGATATTATTTCGCCACCAAGCACGCAGCCAACACCATTAATCATCTCGCCTGCTCGGGTCCTCGTAGCAATTACGGAAATTTGAAGCCGGGCCTGACATTTTCGAAAAAAATTATCCTCCGATTGATGTGAGAAGCACCTCGCAGCTATACGCTCGGAGAAATAATTCGGTCATATGTACCGTAAATGCAGTGTTCGGTATGGGCCGTACTGTTCTGTTCATGTAGCCGGACTCTCGGTTCTAGGAGCCGTATTCTCCTCGGTTCAGTGGCGATTTTGCAAGTTGGCGACACTGTTTTTACTCTATTTAAAGCCATTGAAAATATCGATTTTAGGTACGGCAAGCTGCCTCGCCAAGAATCGATTGTTTTACATACATTGAAATGGAGGATGCCAACTTTCAAGAATCGCCACTGCGTCGATTCATGGTGTTATGCTTTCAAATCAAACTGATCCATGTAATAAAAAAAAAAAAAAAAAAAAAAATCAGATGCATGGTCCGAGAATGTGGTTTGCAGAACTAAAGGGAAACGCGGCAGGTATAGAACGCCGTACTTAAGGTTCATAAGACTGACTTTTCTTCCTCAGTGTAGATTTGGACGGAACACTCCAAACCTAACTCCATGAGACGTTGTCTAATATCTTCTTAGTTTTTTTTACCAAAAAGCTGAGTATAATTTTGTAAATATGTGATATTTTGATTTAAAGATAATTTGCGGTAAGTTTCGAGGTGGAATGTTGTTTCATGCTCACTTAAAAAAAAAAAAAAAAAAAAAAAAAAAAAAAAAAAAAAAAAAAAAATGAAATATGAGATAAAGTTAGACAACATGAAATGCAGTTCAGCCCATAATAGATAAATTTGTTCGTTTAATATATTAACTGCCACCATCAAAATACGACCTGTTGAGCCCCCTCCCCCACCCTCGTCTCAGGAGACAGGAATTATGAATTATTCATGGCTTGTCACTTCTTAATCAATTTGCCTGGAATAATTTAATTTGATGAGCCTCTAAAAATATTTTACATACTCAACCCACAGCAGTGCGCTTTAAGCGCTTTGTGCTGACTTAGTAATTAATAATGTGTTGTTATCGCCGATAATAGGAAACTTAGGATTATGGACCGTTTGAAATAACCCAGTATTTTTTAAACCTCGTTTTCCGCAAATTAGCACACCTTCTTATCCTTTTAACTTGTTGTATACATATAAAGAGACCTCATTTTGATATGTTGTAGGATTCTCCGATGTTTTCATCTTAATTCAGCCTGGAATTCATAATCGACAACGTACTGATTACGACCTATATTATCAGAGACTAAAAACCCTTACTGTTCGGAGTGAAGTCTGAGAAGATGATTCTAACGTAATAAATGCAGATGAATTGGAAATCGATAGTTCGGTACAACAAATAAACGCGTGGATTTAAGATTGAAACCTACGTCAGAAAATGATGTTCATCCTCGGAAAAATAAAATAGGAGCGGAAAGTTGTATACATCGCAATAAAGTTACGAGGTTTCGAATTATGGCCATCGATATGGACATTTCCAATCAATTGGACGTATTTATGCTAAAAGGAACTATGTCTCACGCAAACCCTATGCACATAGGTTCTTTTAGCATAAATACTTCCAATTATGGTAGTACCGCGACTCTAAATGGGGTAGATCGCAACATTTGGGTGAGTAACCTAATTTATTGGGGTACTACCTCAATTAATAGGAAATGTCCGTATCATCCAACAACCCGGTGCTTTTCCCCCTTGATTATCTATCATTGAACCTCTCTATTCAAAAACGACCTAATTCGGGTTTTGTAAAATGTTCGATTTTTTTTTTTTTGCTTAAAAACACTTATTTTATGGCTGTTACGCAGTTCTTATCGTCTCCTGAAAAATTTCATTTTTCCGAGATAGGCCGTTTTCGAACGGAGATAATGCAATAAGGTAGTGAAGGAGAGTTGAGCTCGGTTTGAACTTGAACTCATAAATTGCAAAGAAGCGGAAATATGACGAAGAGTGCATATCCACAAACATGGATGTGTATCTAGGACTCTTAAGCTTCCGCAAAAATTTCTTGAAACTCCTACACGCTCAGGAGCACAGGTAGACATTATAGGGTTGGAGTGGGGCGCTTTCAAGGCTCGGCGATTCCGCGCGAGGGATTGGTTTAAAATCGGCAACTGGTCGCTGACAACTTGATTTTGTAGAGCGTATTCTAAGCACAGACATGCTCTCTATGAAGTAAATTACCGGCTAGAAGAACATGCGCCTGAGTATTTCGTAGTTTATGGCCGTTTGCGCTACGGATCTCCTCCATATCGTTTCTCCGCACCGAACGACAGCAGACTAAATGAAGTTGATCCGAACGTATAGTAACTCATAATGTCAAATGCGGTATCGTAATTATCAGATCAAGTTGTTACACACCACCGTTGTGTGACGGTCTCATTATCGATCGCGTTCACAACTTAACCGACGAAGACGGTGCCGCACAGTGGATCGAGTCAATTAGAGGGGTCGAACATGACATTTTTGACTGAAACTGCAAATTTTGATACTTATGTCGTCAAATTTTGAATTTCAAGGCGTGCTTGTGGTTGAAAATTTCACGAGAAAACCAATGAAGTCACTTTAAGAACTACAAAGTTTTGTATAAACGTAGTTACAAGCTTTTAAAGGTTCCAAATTTTGTCCGACCTCTCCTGTTCTACCATGCTAAGGAAGAACGCCGCTTGAACATTCGAGAGTTGCCAAGTTTCCTTCGATAAAATGTTCATTTTTTTAGAAAAGTTGTGAATATTATTCCTTTACATTTTCAGGACTTTTCGGTGGAATTGCGAGCAAAATTATCAAAAAAATTTGGAAGAAACATATTCATAAGTTAACCTGAAAATTTGTGCAAAAAAAGTGGTTTCCTGATATGTTATCTTCACAATTCGTTTACGTTTTTTCAAAGTCCAACTTTGACAGTCAATACTTCTATAGGGTTATTACAAATAATATCGTCGATAATTCATTTAGGGATCGGCCAAAATCTATCATTAACTGTACATAATGATTGTCAACTCAAAGTCGTGTTGTGGGTTCAAGATGGGGAAAGATTCTAAAGTTCCTTAGGGAGAAACAAGATCATTTTGAGGCAAGCATCATGAAAGGCACATAGCGTTGACGCAAGGATAAAAAAAAGAAAAAAATAATGAGGAAATATCTAATAGAGCGTTTATGCTAAAGTGCATCATGAGATAGAATACGCGATGCGAAACCGGTGAAGAGGCCAACGGCACTCACTGACATTGGAAATGGAGCGATATTAATTAATTTACGCGCTGAGCCAAAGTAAAATATCTATTGCTAAGTGCCTGTCATTTTTCTTCGCCTTCCTTCCGTTTTTTCCTCGACTTCCTTAACTTCTCCGATTGCACGCATCAATCAGAAAAATTACTCCTCCATACAGAGCCATATACATGAAATTTGAAAGCCTTAATAATTTCGAATATTTTGGTATAATAAAACTGCGAGGTGGAAAAATGAAACTGGGGAGAACTTACAGATACTTTAAGGGCACACCTTGCATCGACTTGTGAACATGAGATTGAACGAGAGCGTAGTGAATTGAATATTCTTTGGAGGGATGTAGTTAAGATAGGCAATAAAAATAATTCGTATTTATACCAAAAATCAAGAACTTGGAGCCACTATAAAAATTCAAAGGACTTATTCACAACACTCGCGAAAAGATGTGCACGTTTGTTTACAACTTGTTATCAATATAGGGCAAATGTATGAACAAGTCGAAACAACCAATCCTATTGATTCCCGCCAATTCCAGTGGCGCGCGCGGCAAAATATACAAATTGACGCGCCACTTTTCAATTTAGCGGGGACCACTCCGGTTGGGCGCACATAGAATCCACCCGTATCAGGCTTTTTTTCTCAGTTTTTTTTTCAGGTCCCGGAAATCAGGGACCGTAGGGTAGAATGGGGAATCAACCTCAAGGAATCCGAATTTCATGGTTCCGACCCCGCTCTCCCCCCCCCAACTCCTCCGTAAGGGTTGAAAGAAAGGGGAGGGGGGGGGTCACGATACTGCAAGTCGGGGTTTCCGACCGGTGGCGTGGCGTGAATTGCGATATATCGATTGTTATGCCATTTAAACCTATGGTAAAGAATCGATTATTGAGGTGTTCGCTGCGAACACCCTGTTCATCGATCCTTTTCCATAGGTTTAAATGACATAACAATCGATACATCGCAAAGCACGCCACGCCACTGTTTCCGACCGAATTGCGATTCAATTGCATTAAAATTGAAAAGTACGGAAAATTCCCCTTTCAATTGAACCCTACCAATCCAAAATTGGTTCATCCCAGGCCCAAAAATGATCTCCTAAATTTTAAAGGACCGACTTTTTGTAAACAAAGATAAAATGAATAAATATAAAAATAAACTCAAGCAAATGTAGTTTTAAAAAATGAGCAAAATTAAAAACAAATATTGAAGGAAATCCTTTTCCTCAACTTTCAATGGC